CCCTCCTGCACAATCCCAGCTCTTGTGACACCTTCTCAGAGGGACCCATCTTCTCCAAGAAGCATCTCTCCCCTGCCACTCACCTTGTCACTCTCCTTCATGTGACTTGGCTTATATTCTTCCTAGCAATTGGTGTTACCCAAACTCTTGGTGTTTTTTTTTCCCTCTGTTATTTTCTATGTGGCTCTCTGCACTAGAAGATAAGCTTCATGGGCTTCTAGCTCTCTGTCCTCCAGGGGACAGCACAGAGATGACACTCTGTGAATAGTGGTTAAGCAAACATGCCAGTACTTTACTGATGTCAGTAGCCTTCCAGGTTGCAGCTGTCTGCTTCCCTGAGAATTAATGGACTGGCCTGGCCCCTGCCCAGAGGGCCCTGTACAGTGATGTGATGCCAGAGAAGTATGGGGCTGTGCTTCCCTGGGATATCCAAAGCCTGCTGGGATGTCCCATTTTGATCTGGTGGATAAGCCATTGTGCCTGAAACCACAAAGAGAAGACCGAAGCCTGGTTTGTATTGAGGGTGTATTGAAGAGTGAGAAAGAAGATTCTATTCTTTTTTTTTCTTTTGGCCGCACCGCAAGGCATGGGGGAATCTTAGTTCCCTGACCAGGGATCGAACCTGTGCTCCCTGCATTGGAAGCACAGGGTCTTAACCACTGGACCACCAGGGAAGTCCCAGAAGATTCTGTTCTGATGGAGGAAATTTTTGAGGAAGCACAGACCCACACCATGGTGCTACCAAGTAAACCCCAGTGGTGTGGCTCTCAGGAATTTTGGTTTGGAAAGACCCGTCAAGAGGAGAAAAGCAGGTTAGGGAGAAGGCCTGGCTACCCCAATGGAGAAAGTGTGGAGAACACCACCAGTGACATACCTGTGATTGTCAAAGATGAGACGGTCTCAGTGGAAGAGATCTCAGAGAATACTGATGTTAATCGCCACCTCGTTGGACAGCAGAAAATTCCAAGTGAGCAGGTATTCTATATGTGTAAAGAATATGGCAAGTGTTTTGATCAAAATGAAAACTTTGATCAATATCAAGGAATGAAAAAAAACACAGCTCTCGGCCTTAGCGCCATCTTCTGAGAAACCTCTGCGCCCTGAGAGCAAAGTGGGGGAAGCAAATGCTCAGGCTGAAGCGCGAAAGAAGATGAGGCCGAGGTTCAGGTAAACTTGTACACCCATGGAAGCCACAGGAGCAGAAACAAGGGAAGCCAGAGGACACGGGCGCTGGTACAAATAGTTGGACTGCTTGCCTACTGTCTGGAACTTGTCTCAGTGGATCTGGAACATCTATGGCCATTCTGATCACCTCGACCGCCTTTGAGAGACCCACCTTGCTTGTATCAAAACGGTCCCTTCCTTTGCCCTGAACCTGTGACATTCTGGACTAGTTCTGTTCTCGGTTGTGGCTGAATGTAACATGTGTACAATAAATCATCTCTTTTGCTGTCTTAGCTATAGAAAACACACACACACACACACACACACACACACACACACACACACACACACACACACACAAGGTGTTTGTACTCCCTGTAAGCAGAAGCCAGCCTCCCTCTCTCATCTGCTCTGAAATGAACTCTGGAGAACACCTGGAGAACAAATGATTGTTCTCCAACCCTGAGGAAATTTGTCGGCAAGTCCCATAGTTTTTCCAGGCAAATGCTCACAGGTATTAGGAAGTCCATTCCAGTCCAACGCTTATCCTGTTTAAAGCCACTTCCTTTTTAAGGCAAGGACACATGGGGGTGGTTTCTGCATTATTTTCCTAAGTTACCTCCTCTCTCCCTCCCTGTGCTGCCTGACTCCTCTGAGGTCAGAAAGGGGATGGTTCAGGGTTCTGTAGGTGTGTGAGAAAAGGAAAGATCAGGAAACGTCTTACCTGATGGGTACAGCTGTAACCAGGTGTTGGTACCGGCTGGGCGTGGGCACCGTCCAAATAATGATCCCCATGGTGAACACTTTGGTGACGGGCAGGATGCCATAGAGCTGTCCCTTCCTCGGCTTCTGAGTCCTCCAAGTGCAGAAGACACAGGTGTGTTCCAATGCCTGTCCTTTCTCCCTGCAGGCATGGGCTCTCAGAGGCAGAGATGAAGGATGTCCTGTCCTTGGATGACGAGGTCCTGCAGGCCGTGTACCAAGACTGGACCCCGCCCAGCAAAGAGCTGCTGCGTTTCCCAACCCTGCTGTGGGTGAAGCTTCGTCGAGATCTGGGTAACTGCTTGGCCAGGCAGCCCGTGGATGGCTTCATACTCCTGGCCATCGCCCACAGGTAGGTCGAGCGGGTTGGTGACACTGTCTAGGCGGGTCCCCGAGAGCGAGGACTCACTGAGCAGACTCCTCCTTGTTCCAGATCCTCCTTCACTCCCCACTCCCAGGAAACCAAGTCCACATAGTGCAGCGTTTACCATCAGCTCTAACACAACTAACTTGTTTTTTATTTTTATAATCATCATCATTATTCTTCTTAATTTTGGCCACACCTCGCAGCTTGTGGGATCTTAGCTCCCTGACCAGGGATCAAACCGGGCCCTCGGCAGTGACAGCACAGAGTCCTAACCACTGGATTGCCAGGGAATTCCCACAACTAACTTCTTTTTTAAATTGAGGAGAAATTCACATAACATAACATTCATCATTTGAAAGTGAACAATTCAGTGACATTTAGCATATTCTCATGTTGTGCAACCATCACCTCTATCTACTTCCAGAACATTCCTACCACCCTAAAAGGAAACCCTGTCCCCATGAGCAGTCACTCCCCATCCCCCCGCCCCCAGCCTCTGGCAACCACGAATCTGTTTTCTGTCTCTATGGATTTGCCTGTTCTGGAAATTTCGTATGGATGGAATCACACACGTTGTGGTCTTCTGTGTCTGGCTTATCTCACCCAGCATAATATTTTCATGGTTTATCCACATTATAGCGTGTGCCAGTGCTTCGTTCTTTTTATGGCTGAAAATATTCCCTTGTAGGGAGGGACCACATTTTATTTATCCACTCATTCGTTGATGGACACATGGTTGTTTCTATCTTTGGGTGGTTGTGACTAGTGCTGCTGTGAACATGCATGTACAAGTTTTTGTTTGAAAACCTGTTTTTCCATTCTTTGGGGTATGTAACCAGGAGTGAAATTGCTGGGTCATACAGTAACTTATTTTATGTTTAACTTATTGAGGAACCCAAATGTTCCTTTTATTATTATTATTGTTTTATTTTTTTGGTGGACATTTGGGTTTCCACCTTCTTAAAAAAAATTATTTATTTATTTTTGGCTGCATTGGGTCTTCTTGCTGCGTGAGGGCTTTCTCTAGTTGTGGCGAGCGGGGGGGTGCTACTCTTCATTGCGGTGCGCGGGCTTCTCATTGCCGTGGCTTCTGTTGTTGCGGAGCACAGGCTGTAGGCACGTGGGCTTCCGTAGTTGTGGTGCACGGGCTTAGTTGCTCCACGGCATGTGGGATCTTCCCAGACTGGGGCACGAACCCGCGTCCCCTGCACCGGCAGGTGGACTCCTAACCACTGCGCCACCAGGGAAACCCCAAATGTTCCTTTTTAAAGTAAATTTCTTTAAGGAATAAAAGTAAGATGGGCCGATTGAGAGAGAAATAATAGGTAACAAATAGTGGTCAGCTAAGTCAGCAAGCATCTGGAAGGTGGTTTAGGGTGGACTGGCATTGGGGAACCGCTCACCTCTGAGCTCGCCCAGTGTCCCCTCTCTGCAGACAGCTGGCCGAGGTGGTCCGAGAGCGCTACCTGTCCTGGCCCGAGAAAGCCAAGGGTCACGGAGTCTTGGCTGACTTATTCTCAGGGACCTGGAGCCAGGGAACCAAGAAACTCATCACCCTGCCACTTGTGGGGAAACCCCTGAACCTGGACCGCAAGGTGAGGTGCCCAGGGCCCCCTGCTCCCCACTTGGAGCCTCCAAGCTGCTGCACCTGCAAGGCAGGGACCACATGCCTCCTTCTGTCCATCATTTCCACCCAAAAACTCCCTCCTAACCACCTTCTCTTCTCTACCCATGGAGGGTTAGGGTGGCGAGCAGCAGATGAGGACTATGCAACCCTCCTGCCCAACTTTCCAGAGGATAAAACAAAACCACAACATTCAGAAGCATATCCCCAAAGTCATGGCATCCCAGAATTTTAATTCCCTACACTTCGA